TTGGGTTTGGTTTAATGTTTGCTATAGCCATAGATGCCAGGGGCTTCAAAATCCTCTGATGCTTGTTTTGCTTATTTGGTTTTTATCTCTGCTGGATGTTTAGGTTCCTTTAAGAACTCAGTAGTCTGCTTTTGCAAATTTTTCAGTTGTAATCCACTTCAATTGTAGTGGAGTCCTGTAGATATGGTGGAAGGGAACTCTTCTGTGATCTTCTGATTATATTTTATCCTTTCAGTGGGACTGTGTTCCTGAGCTATATCCTTCACAAGGACTTCTTCGCCTTTTCCTCCTGTTATGAGAGAGAGGAATGCTATGGGTCTGTCAGGGGGAGGGGTTTGGAGATGCCCTGTCCTCAGGTGCAATAGGCTTTGGCAAAGCCTTATTTTTTGTTGAAATGCAGGCAGTTGTTATGGAGCACGCTCTGTGTGTGTTTCAAAATGGTTATCTTTCCCCTTTTAATAGCAGAGGCATATGATGATCTATTGTTTTCTGTTACAATCTGGTGTACTTCTATGAAAGAAGAGCACCTTTCCTGAGACAGCAGCCCCCAAATGATCCTAGCTCTCATTGTCATCTCCACATGGATTCCAGCCACTCAATCCCAGTGACTCTAAAGGCTGAGGCAGGAGGAGTGCGATTTTGAGGCAAGCCTCAGCAATTGAGTGAGAACCTGTGTCCAAAAGAGTTGAAAATGCAGCTCAATGGTTGAAAAAGAGACCCTGTGTCCAAAAGTGTTGAAAATGCAGCTCGAGCAATCCTACCAATTTAGACTGAGTATCTGTAGTCCCTGTCTCTCCAGTCTCAGGGTGGTGGCTTACCCTACAACTTAAGTATCTGATGTATACCAGAATGGCCATTGGTTTTCAGTTATTTTTGTAGTTGTTTTCTTCTGTTATTGTTAGGACAGGAATGATGACTTTCAAGTTCTTGTCAGAAGTGAAATTTGAAAGCTATCTCTAAATTCATTTTGAACCAATATGTATGAAATGTCAACTTTGAGGATTGCCAGCTTATTATATCTTTAATAGTCCCACATATCTCAATCAACCCTGGATGGGAATGCCAGCAGTAACAACAACAACAAAAAAATACCAAGAGAGAAATGCAAATTTGTTCCAACATTTTTCTTAATTTTATAAGTAAAAAACAATTATGTGATATAACAATACAAACATTCTAAAGGGAATTTTTAGAAAATATTTATCAATAAGCAAGAAGTTGATTTTATTCATGACTTTCACTTGGGATTTGGATAAAGCCTTCCCTCTCAGAACACTGAACTAAGGACCTAAAAACCTAATTAGACTTTTTGATATGGATTACAGACAGTGATTTAGCATTTTCTCTAGAAAAGTCTGATGTTACCACAGGATCTCCTTCCGCAGTAGCTGAGCAGACTTCCTATTCTCAATATATCCACAGGATCTCCTTCCGCAGTAGCTGAGCAGACTTCCTATTCTCAATATATCCTTTCTCTATTATTTACCTCTATCATGTAACTCTTTTTTATGGCTGAACCACCAAGGCATTTGAATTTGTTGTCTAAACGGATTTATTAGAAGTTGGGGAAAAAGTGAGCAAACTCTAATATGTCTTTTTTAGAGTCTGGAAATCAGAAATTCAGTATGTATTTTACACTTCAGTAAACACATCTGACTGTTTCCACGGATCATTTGTAACACACAACCTTAATTAGCAACAAAGCACATATAGAGGTATTATTGAATTTTCGTTATTTGGAATTTCTGAAAACAATCACCTTTTGCAAATTATCTCTTTTCATTTCATATTCTGTTTTAGAAAAGCCTGGCCAGCTTCTACAGGTCCATTTTGTAGCATTCAGATTCTAGTTTAAGATGTAGTCATTACTGCCACTACGTGGCTTATTTTGAAAGTACTTAAAAATGAAACTTATACTTACAGCTTTGAACTTAAAAAAAAAAAAAACAATAAACTTGACATTTTCTCAAGTCAGCAGAGATATTCGCTATATACAGTCATGTGTCCCTCAATGATAGGGATATGTTATGAGGAATGCATCATTATGTAAATATTCTTGAGCATAATTACATGAACCTAGTTGGTGTAGGTCAATCACTTGGCATGGTGTTTTGATATAATCAAGAGATGTGGTAAACACAAGAGTTATGAGGCTGCAGCCATACAGTTTTACAGTATACTTGTACGTTTGTGTATGTATATGGATTACATTCCAAAATAATGATTAGTCAGTCATTATCAATTATGTATAGTTGCACATCCTATAATTTTACATAGCTTGCAGTACAGGTTTGTTCACACCGTATCACTAAGTGATAGGCATTTATTCAGCTCTATTAGTCTTATAGGACCACCATTATACATGTACTCTGTTTTTGAAAAATATATTATGAGGTAGTGACCATGCTTTTCTTTAAGGATATGACCCAATTAATAGTAATACTTTATTTTGCTTCTTAAAAAATCTACATCCTGAGTGAAACACAAACAGAAAAATGTGTGTATAAACACAAAGGTAAATGTGCATTTATGCACACATATTCAACAATGTATATCCATGTAATGCAGTTTCCTCACTTATACAAGTGGATTCATCTGCATACTCTTCTGTACCTTGTTTGTATCTTTTCAATGTCTCCATTGTATTCATTTCTTTCTGCTTTGTATTTTTGTTTTGGTACTAAAAATTCTACTACTGATGTGCCTAAAGAATTATTTCACACTTTTATATATATCATTGAGAAAATTGCCAGAAGTAATATTTTAGATTTCAGAATAGATGTTTAAAATTTTAAAACACATTGTTGATTTGTTTCCCTAGAATTTACCATCAATTCTACCTTTCCCAGATATTCTTTTTGTTGTTCTTTGGTGTGTTTTAATTTTTTTTCTTTTTTGGCACTGGTGGTTTAACCCAGGGTACTCTAAAACTAGAGTACTCTAGAGAGGGCTGGGGATGTGGTAGTTTGAGAAAGGGTCTCCCTAAGTTGCCCAGGCTGGCCTTATATTTGAAGTCCTTGTGCCTTAGCCTCCTAAGTGGCTGGGATTACAGCTGTGCACTTTATTCTTAAAATTTAACTTTCTCTACTGTCATACTATACGGAGTGCAGTTATATACCTTTCTAAAAGTACATCATGTATCTATTTCTGTGATATTCTTGTTCACGTTTTTGTAGCTGCCTTTCATGTTTTTTAGTTGATTTCTGTGCAGCCTTCAAATTGTAATACTCTGACATGAATACCAATCTTTTTACCAGGTTTTACACTTTAAGTTGATAATTTTTTTTAAGTAGCATAAATGATCATTAACATGTTTTCTTTAGGGTTTTGAGGTGTTTTATCCTGGTAAGAACTATCTTTTTCCCTTAAGGTTATGAATAAATGTATCCACATAGTTTGAAACTACTTTTATGCCCATTGCCATGTGGATTCTTTTAGTTTATGAAATCTTTTTTAGTGCATTTAATCTTGATGAAATCAAAGTATCAAAAGCTTAATGGTCTCTGATTTGGAGGATTAGCTGAGAAAGCCTTTAAATGGAAGTCTTTAGCCCAACACCCAATTTTTTTTTCTAGGATTTCCATCATTATTTTATTTCCATGTAACTCCTTCAGGTGTAAACATTTACTTTCATGGATAACAGTTATGACAGCATGTTTATGCTTTAACTCTATTCTGATGCTTCCCGTGCTTCTGTAATAAGGAGTGAAGGTACTCAACACGTCTGAGTGTATCTCAGGCTCTTCATGTGACACTATTAATTTCACTTTGTATTTTTGAAGCTGCTTAGACAAAAATTTATAAATATCTTATGCTAGACATTTCCTTCTATTAATGTGAAATATCCATCTTTGTCTCTTTTAGAACAAAGTTGGCATGGCATTATATCTTATTTGGTATTATTTATAAATTGTCTTTTCTATAATATTGGGGGGGTGTCATCACTCATCCTATTTGTCATTGTCCTCTATTGCTTTCACACAGATGACCGAATTTATTGTCAGTGTGTGAATATCTTAATACTCAAATCTAACTCCCCTGTTATTGTCATCATGGAAATCATGATGCATTTTTATCTCCATTTTACCATTCTCTGTCATTTACCCTCCTTATTAGTTTTTGTTCAATTAGTGTTTCAACTTATTTTTCTTTTATTCTGGTAATATCACTGAATATGTGTACATATATATTTTATATGTGCATAAAATTAGTCAGCATTTCCATTTTATCCTAAGTCTGTTCTCAACTATAGCCAGGAGTTGTTTATCTCATTAGGACACATATGATACAAGTAGTGGCTGCCTAGAGTGTCATATTTACATAGAATCTAAGATCATGTATGATTAAGACCTAGAAAGAATGAAGTAACCAGAAGAAAAATTAATTCAAGAGCACAGAAATACATTTGATTGTAAACTCATTGTATGATTTTCCTTTCTGAAACTTGTTTCTTATGGTTCAGAGATAATATTCTCTTTAAGTAGTTTTCTAGGAATATCTCATGAGGCACAGGAGTCTAAATGAGATAGTCAAGGGTAAAGCCAAGGATTAGGACTAAAAGAGTGAAATTCTCAAAGTAATTATCTGGCAACAGGGTGAAGGAGAACAGTGGAGTGTGTGTTGGGGGGGGGGAAGATATATGAAGTAATTTCTTCTAGAATTCTCAAAATATTATAAGGTTCACAACATCAGTATCTATGAAAAAAATATTAGCTAATCGAGATCCAATTAACTGAATGGACTAAATTATACTTGTATGTGCTTTTTGGCTATCAGACATTGTTGCCATGAAGTGCAGTGAGAAGACTGATTCATCTTCAATGGCACTTATCTAATCTCAGAAGCCTGGTGGGTGTGAGAAATGGGATGCACTGGATGTTACTATCGATGTCCTGGTCAGGACCCAGGCAAAACTGGCATTCCACGATACTGATGCCTAACTCTCATGTTGTTAACCCTCTTCTCATAATGTACCTCCATATGCATATGATTTCCTGCAGTATTCAAAGGCGGAAAGGCATCCTGTGACTGCGCTGGAGAAAATGATGGAGTCAAGTTTTGGCGGCCCCCAGTCATTCCCTGAGGTTCCTTCTCCTGACAGAGGAAGCCAGTCTGTTAAACACCACAGGTACTGGTAGCTGATTATTGTGGGAGTGGGTTCGTTCACACAGTGTACACTCTGGACACACATGCCGAAAAATGGCAACATGGGATTGTTCTTGATTCTCCTATAGTTCTCCATGGAGGAGATGTTCCAGCAGCTCACAGCAGGTAAACAAAAGACACTGGCTTCCCTCGCAGGCAACATTGTGCCTACAAGAGCCTGAAGGAACCATTAACAACACTCATCAGAGCTATAGGCATAGACCAGTGAACAGAACAATTGCATTCTGAAAAACTAATGTCTAATTCTCCCCTCGGCAGCTGGTGTTAGATGTTCCATGTCTTCCAACATGGTCCTCACAAAAGAAAATTTTCCAGGGGGATATCCTGGCGAACCTTCTCTAAAACCTTGTGTTATTAGTGGAGGGGTACTCTTTTGTAAGCTGACCACAGCAATTGGGTCTTTGAGAAAGAAAGGCAAATATATTTTATGACATTCTAAAGGTGAACATATTCTGTAGCATCTTCTAGCTCACAGTGTTCTGCTTTACACACAAGGTTCTTGTACTCCAAAAAATGGAAGGTATCGCCTTCCAAACAAACCAAGTGGTGAAGTTTGTTGGAAATAATGTTATAGTGGATAGTATGTATATGTGTATGTTTTTGTATGTGTCAAAATGGACATCTTCAATCTTTGCACAAGTTGTCCAAAGACTGAAGCTTCTTTTTTCAATTACCAATCTATAGTAACAAGTTTTCTACTTTCAATTAAAACTTTATGCTGCTACAAAAACAAAACAGGTACAATAGCTTAAATATAAAATATATGCAGTAAATTGAAATTTTGAATGTGACAGTAAATAGTGAGGTACTACTACCAATGAAGGATAACTGTTATCAACCTTTGTTTTCACATCTCTCAGCAACACTTTGCACACAACCCCATCAGAAACACCTTTTAAAAGGAAACAACCTTTTCCTTCACTCCTTAGGAAAGGGCTTTCCTGTTTGTACCCACACTTATGTTGTAATTATCAACATACTATTTTTTAAAAATTTCCATTCCATATGAAACTGAAATAGAGGGTTTAAGTATCTTAAACTCAAGTTTTGGCTTATATCATTTGTTGCATTTACAGACTACTTCCCCATGGAAAGAGCATTTCACTTTAATGGACTTTAGTCCAAAATTCCCAGCCTTTTAGAAGATGGATATTTTCACCCAAACAGTATTTCCCCCTGTCGATTAGAACAGAGTATTTTATCCAGTCAAGTAAGAGAGTTTAGTGAATCATTGTAGTACTGAATTGTCATAAAGTTGAGATTTTTAAGAATCATATCGGAGCTGAAGTATACTTTTGTTCTTATTTGTATATTTATTCTGAAAATTGGCTTCTACTCAGGCTTTTAGGAGTCACTCACAGATTAAATAAGGACATCATTAAGACATTGTCCTTTTGTTCAGTACAATGACATTGGAGTATCTGTTGACATACATTGTGTCCTGATAGATAGGCAACAGGTGATTTATAAAGTGCCTCTAGAACTTTGTAAATTATAGTTTCATACATCATAGTTTTTGTTGTAAAACATGCAATAGACTTAAACATTTTCATGATTGATAACCTGGTCACTGATTTATATATCCCACAAACTGTTCCATAACATCCTGAATAGTTGATTGACCAGTAGATGCAGACTATTATTTTTAAGATGGATTACTACCTCATATGGGTAGACTTTGCTGTTATGACAGTTTAGCAAGCTATATGAATAATTAACTTCTTTTTGTGCACTAAAAATATAGCTCATTTGGATAACTTATTTGTGAAACAAAGCCATTATTTCTAATGTTTAGTCCAAAAATTCCCACCTGTTTAAAAAAAATCTACCACGCCATCCTTATTGCACATTTTGACAATCTAACTTACTCAAAGAAAGCACATATATAGGTTTTCTATGGTGACATGACTCCAGGACTTTTAGTGACTACGAGAATGGCAGAAGAACAAGACGAAAACTCTTTTGAGCATCTACTATTTGCCAGGCTCCACATTAAATATTTGCATATATTTTAGCTTCCACACTAATCCCATGAAAAAAATAAGCACAATACTGATACCTTCCTTTTGCTGCTCCCCACTCCCACCCCTGTGCAGTGGTCTCTACCTCTCCCTGTGTACCAGAAGAGCTATAGGCTGTTTTGTCCCCTGGCTTCTCTTGGCTCAATGGGAAATGGTAAGGTGGTGGCATTTCTTCCCCTTCCTTCCTTGGTAGCCTGAGCAACCTGTCTTCTGGGGCCCTCAGACTCTGCCAGATGGTCTTATCCTTACTCTCCTGACTGAAGGGCCAAGGAACGAGAGAGAGAGAGAGAGAGAGAGAGTAATAGCTTCCCCTTGTTAGTAGTGGTAAGGACAATAGTCTCTATTTCCCCCCTTTCAAATATAGGCTATACATTCTAAATTCTAAAACCTTACTTTGCTGAAATTAAAATAGCATTTATTTCCCTCCAAGTCTGATACTAGTCTCAATTCCAGTATCATGCTCCTAGTAAGGTACAGACCTGAGATTTTATACTTAGACATAGTACACTCTAGCACCTAGATTCCCATACCTGACAGACTCTTTAATTCCCAGGGGATGGTAGATAGAAGTAGGGAGGGAGGGAAACCAGAGTTTCTAATAGAGAACTTCTTAGAGACCTAACTATACACCACTTGTTGGGAAGAATTTTAGCACTCAGCATACAAAGAATATCAAAATAAAAGTATAATGATGTTGCTGGTTATGATCTGATGTCTGCCTAAATTGAAGAAGTTCTATATAGTTCGATCAGTTATCTTGCCAAAACCAGAAAAGTGGTTACTAGCACTCAAATATAAAAATGAAACTTTTGGGCACACATTGACATTTATCAAGTAGAAATAACTAATATTGATGGGAAAAAATGACAGAAGCCAAACAATATAGTGATATGGTAAAATTCCTTTGGAGGGCCTCTTCCTTTTAGGACTTGATAGGCTTATTGAAATTTTGTGGATTTTTTCATCTTTGTTTATATGATGAATTGATATTTTCAGATGTAACATGGATCCACAAAATTCTCCATTCATTCATTGTTTGAACTCAACAATTAACATCTCATGAAATGCCTACAAATGAACAAAGTTCTCCTTACTAGTCTAAGTAGGGTCCATTCACGGGGTGGAGATGGGAATCTGTGTGGAATAAGTAATGAGTCAAATCAGCAATTATTGTTTTGGGGGTGAAAACTGAGGAAAGGATCCAGGGTCTCACAAATGCTAGACATGTAAGTGATATCTCTAGCCCTTTTAAAATTATATTTTGACGTAGGGTGTAAGTTGCCCAGGCTGACCTCAAACTTGTGATTCTCAGTTTCCCAAGTAGCTGGCATTACAAGAGTGTACCACTGTGCCTAGCTAGCAATTAAATATTTTTTATACAATCTAGTTCTTTTGTTTTATGTAAACTACATATGGTGTTCTCATATTGTTCAGGCCTCTGATCTACCTCATTTATATAGCTATAAACATGATTATTTGGATAGGCATCAAATGAAATAGCTAATCAGACATTTATTAAGAGCAAATGCAAAAATAGTTTCTCAAGACTAATGAAAATCTGGGAATCTGAACTGAGAATTTAACATGGATATTAAGGAAAGAATGCCAATTAAAGTCAGGTTTGTTTATTCTATAACTTAGAAGTGAAAATTTCTTCATAAATCCCTTCTGATTTTTCCATATTTAATTCTTGTATCTAATAAGGGCTTCTTTTATTCCAATCAGAGACACAGCTACTATGTCTTATATAACCAAGGTAGGTAGGAATATGAACCTTGAGAATTTAAGCCCACCTCTTATTTCAGTCAGTAGGCCTCTAAACTGGGAAGTCAGAAAGAAAGGAACTTGTCTTTGAGTAACTCCTGATCTCAACCAAGCACATTTCTATAGTCATGGATGGCTTATGGCCTAGAACTTTGAGAAACCAGGGTACAAATACAATGTTTGAGAAGTTGCCTGGAGGTTATCGCTATGATCTCTTTGGTTTGTTGGTTTCTTTTCCCTCTTTCAATCCTTCAGGAGTCTCTCCTCTTGCTGTAGTCCAGGGCAAAGGAGTGGGATGCTCCATAGGAATGCCTTCAGGAGGACACCCCCCTCACCCAGAAGTAGGCTGGGTGGAATCGTGGGACCAGCATATCAGCAACTCGAAGAATCAAGGATCCCAGACCAGGATACAATACCTTGCCAAGGGTACGTCTTAAAAGCAATGGAATTTAGGGAAGATGTCATGAGCGCGATAGCTTTGAGCTACATGTTACTGATTTCTTCATTAACTGGCTATTTATACTTACGTTTGTCTTTGTTTCGCAAGGTTGAACCAATTTAAAAGAATAGGTATGATGGAAAATAGGTATAAGGAAATGTTAAAAAATAAGTGTAGAGATCTAGGCAATATGTCATAGTTTCTAAAACAACTGAAAATTTGTGTTTGATAAAAATAAGATTTCTTAGGAGGAATAATGTATCCATCAGTAATTTGGAAAAAAATGCTTATTTCCTAAGCAATAACCTATATTACATAAAAACATAAATATGTATAAAATATATGAATGTAATAGACAAAATATGTAAAATCTTTCATCTGGCATTCTTAAATGGAGAATTTAGGTCAATGTGAACAAGTTCAAAGTCACAGCACAACTATGAAACTCATATCTCTTAATTATTCATGGTACAGGGATGGAAGGATGGGCTTTGCGACATCATGGCTGCTGCTCCTTACAGTGCCAAAGGCGCCCCTTTCTCTGGTGGACACAGCCCTCAAGGGGCTCAAGGCATAGTGAGTGGAGTGAATTTTAGCCATCACATACTAGTTGGCATCAACCATTCAACCAAACATGGCAGCCCTTATTTAAACTGACTAGAATTCAAATCATACCCTTGTCCCTCACTGCTTATGTGAACTTGAGAAATTTTTTATCATCTGAGCTTGAGTTTCATTTGAACTTAAGCCCCCTGGGGCTTGTAAGATTTTGTTTTAAAATGTGTATAACTAACTTATACCTGACACACAGTTATCACAGAAGTAGTACCGGTGCTTATTGTCATTGTCATAATGTTATCATTGATTTCAAGAGCAATGGAATCAGAAATTACTCCAGAAATTGCAGGCCTCAGTTCCCTCACTCAAAGTCAGGTTCTAAATTGTTCATCTTGAATGAGCTAGGCCAGGGAGTTTAAGCTAAAGATCAAATCAGGTGGGAGGTCCAGCACAGAGCCTTAGCTTTCTTTTTCCTTCTGGGTATGCGATAGATACAGTGGTGCCCTGTATGACAAAGTTCTGCAATAGATTTCTTTAAGAAGACTAAAAGATAGGACACAAATAGCCTGTGGCTACATTTTGTAATTTTGAAGCAATTCCAAACGGACTGTAAAATGCATTTGGTACAGATTTAGGGTGACAGTTGCAAATTCAACATAACAGTCTAGTTGTCCAAAATGTATAATGCAAGACAAGAAGTAGTACACATTTCTCTTGGCCTTCTCTCTGAAACAGGGGCTTGCATTTAGCATTATTATAGCAGATAATGCTTCATAAATACTTTAATAAATCACTAATTATGTCTTTCTGAAGTATATGTGTGTGTACACACACACTCTTACAATTTTTCCCCATTTAGAGTGAATGTTAGAATGTAAATGAATAAGGGGAAAAAATCAACTTCACAGATTTTGGGGAGTGGATAGGAAACCCAGACCATACAGTCTTTCACTCCACATGGTCCGGGTATGAGGATGCTCTGAGACTATGCCAGGCCCGGACCATATGTTTGCGTAACTTCCAGAGCTCAGACATTCCCACTGCACGTTCAGGCAGTGCTGTGCCTTTTACCTCTTGGGAGACTCACAGTGGTGATTTTGTTTTGGTTCAGTCTCCGTTGGTTGGGAATATTCTTTCCAGCTGTCTGGCCACGTGTATTTTTCCTGTGTGTGATCTGCACCCAATGTTGATAAATGGTGGCTCTAAGTATAAGTCACTGTGTGCTCAGCACAATGAATCTCAGGGAGCAATCTCATTCTCAGTTCTTAAAAACAGCTATTTTCTACTCCCAGGGGACTGACTGTCTCTCTAGACTAGAAATGGGATTGGTAATAGAATTTCACAGCTAAAGGCCCTCTTCAAATCTGGCCTGAGCCAGGGATAGAGGGCAGGATATGTGAATAAATTTGCAAGAGCCCTCAAACATCTGCTGCTTGTTTAGCAACCATGTGGTCACTGTCTGCTAGTTAGCTTCCCAGTGTGTGGCTTCTTGGCAAGAACTTTAGTCCAACTTGAACCCAGCACCTATTTTAGTGTATCAGGGAGCAAGAGTGGAGGTTAAGAAGAGATGATTGAGGCCTCTTTTTTTCTGATTGAAAACCTCATCTGTGGCACCCATGGCTCATAGAGCTTTGAACTGGGTTATGCCAAGCAACTCAATCATAAGCTCATAGTCCATAGGAAAGAAGAAATAGAATCACAAAAGTCAGATTCATATCCTAAAAGTAGGTGGGATCCAACATATATGGTGCTCATTCTACAGCCAGCTAGCAACTTGATACATTTCAGTTATACCTTAGGAATTTTATAAATGAACACTGTAAGGATAAGTAGAGTTTAAATGGCTAGCTCCGGGTGGCATCCATAGTCCCTTGTGAATGAGCCTAGATTGAATTCTGGTCTGACTAAACCAGGAAAGGGATGTAAAGAAAGCCACATTCATGGCTGATATGTTAATAGAATACCTAATTGTATGGTTCCAGGGAAAGAGTAGATTTCTTCAATTTAGTCAATCCATTCTAAAATGTCATACTACCCTAGAACTGGGTCTTAAAGTCACCTAGTCAAGCAGATCCCTTGGCCTGACCCCTGAATTACTGGGAACCAAACAATTAATTGTTGGAATTTTTCTTCTTCAGAAGGATGCTTTGAATAATATTTACAGACAAAATGCATCTGTGGTTTCTTTATGGAGGAATGAGAGGAAGGATAGTGTAAACTGTTGTAGCAGTCGATGAACAACAGGCTCATGAACCAAGCCAGAAAAAGGTTGACTCTCAACTCAAGATAATATAGAACTTGATTATCTTGTAAGTCAGGACCACTTCTAGAAATTAAGCTCTCACTTCAACTTCTGCTAGGACACTCAGAGTACTGCACCCCCTGCTCCAACATGGTTCCTCAAATTACTATTACTTTTTTTTTATGCTAAAGTTTGAACCAAAGGCCTGGTATAGACCAAGTTCATGCTTTATCACTGATCCACATTCCCAGCCCCCTCCTGTTTTAGTTGATGCGGAAAAATAAAACGAGACTACCATTTGTCTGAGATTCAGTACATGTAATGGCATTGGGACATGAAATCCTGTCTAATCCAAAATTAAATTACATCTTGGAGAGTTCTCATTCTTTAAAGCCCATGTTCATGTTCTGGTAACGTTTTAGGCTTCAGTTATTGCCAGGCATATGTCCAATAGCTAATTTGGGAAATCACATAGTGGTAAACTGCATTTCCTCTTTCTCATCTGAGTCCTTCCTTCAGGTCTCAGGTATATTAGGAGAATGCTTCATGTGTGGTTTTAATTGCCTTTGTACTAAAATGTGCCACATCGTTTACTTGTTTAAAACATCACCTACAATATTATTTTGGTGCTTTTACAGATAGTGTTTATATCTATGCATAGGAATTTGCAGCTATCACTGTCAACTTACTAGATTCCAAACTGCTGATATACCCTGCTGATTTTGATGTAGAGAACAGTTTTTTTAGTTATACTTCTTGGCTCTGTTTCATTAGTGAGTCTGATAGGCAGATTATCTATATAGTCATATGATAATAGGTTGGTTCCAAGGACAAACTATAAGAGTCTGAGATTTGTCCCCTTACTCTTGAAATTCATGGAGCAGAACCTTCAGACTGATTTTTAGTCATATTACACTGAAGAGAAAGTAGTAGGATCTTCCAGAGAAGTTCCTTATACACAGCTATGCAGTTTTCTTGAGTAAAGATCCTATAATCCAAATAAATAAATAAAGGTATTCTGAGTTACCTCAGGATGTCCATTTGGCAAAAGTTTCTAGCTTTGATAGTAACAATCAGAATAAGACTAATTCTTTCTGCTGTCTCTTACTAAATCTTACTAATGATAGAATTGGGGACAATTCATTTGAGTATCTTTTAGGATAGTTTGATTTTATTATTCTTATTCTGTAATTGATAAGCAAACAACCTTTTTTCAATTAATGAGGAAAGTGACCCCATGCAAGTGTTAGCTATTGTTATTATACTTGAAAATGGATATTAGCTGGGATATGGAGGGAGTATTTACTTGAAGATTTGTTCCATTAGTCTTGTGTTAGATCAAGACTTGGTGATTGCCAACTCTATTCAATGCACAGAAGGAAAAGTTTGGACTACAAAGACCTAAATCTGTTCTGTACCTTTGCTTAGAATTTGGCAGAAAGGCATACCTTGAAATTGCTCCCATTGTGACCTTACAAGAAGGACATCTATTTAGATGCAACATGCTCCCTTGCAATTATTCTTTACTTGTATAAACATGATTTTATTTACACAACAATGTAAGACAAAGATATGAAATGTATAATAAGGAGAATAACACTAAAATATAACTAAACATGTCTCATGTTCAAGACAAACCACTAAGAAACAGAATAAAATCTGTTAAAGTTCCCAAACCACATATTTTTAAAAATAAATCTGTGATATACCTATCCTTCTTTCTGGCATTGGGGAGCTCAGAGGAGGGAAAAAAATCACCAGGCGTGAACCTAGTCACATTCTGGCATATTCAAATCACTTGGAATGGCATGCTGGCATTCTTGACAAGTTGTCGCCACGCACCATTGAATTACCTAATTCTAGAAACTACACAAAGAAAGCTGCTCAACTGGTAGGAGCCCCTGTGAAGCCACCTCATACTGATCCCTAGGCAGGCAGAAAAATTGTGTGCTCCTCTTCCCAACTTCAGACTCAACAAGGGGCTAGCGAGGTAGTTCTTAAAGGTAGTATGCTGTTAACTGGATTCATATATCCTAAAAATCAATGGTAAAGCAGTAAAACTGAGGACCGCAATACCTATGCTTGATGTGGGGCTTCCCACTTGCCTCCAACTAGGGTGGCCACAACACCTCTACTGGACTAAGCCAGGGCTGAGAGGGTGGTCGAGTTGATGGAGTAGGGTAATGCCATTATGGGTTTCCTGTTTGTCACTATGGAAAGGCCACACTTACCTGCTCAATCCCCATTTACTTTGTATTCTAGGATAGAGGTCAGGAAGACTATACCCCACCTGCCTATACAGCTGTGGTGTGTTGAAAGACCCCTGGACTTAAAGTAAGAAGATCTGGGTTTGAGTCTCAGTCTGTCACTTATTTTCTGTGTGACCTTGGGCAAGTCACTTCAGCGACCTGAGCTTCAGTTTACTTCTCTGTTTAACTGGGAGCATATTATCCGTCTCTGGGGTTGCTGTGAGAGTTCAGTGAGGTGGTGCATGTGAAAAGTTCTTTGTGGATTGACTATTGCTCTAAAGATAGCAGAAAGCAGGATGTGTGATACTTTGTTTCTTTCTCAGGTATTCATCCAATGGTTTAAAAACCCAACAAAATGCATCAATAAATATGCAACTGCCTTCAAGAGAAACAAACCCCTATTTTAATAGCTTGGATCAAAAGGACCTGGTGGGATATTCATCCACAAGGGCCAGTTCTGTGCCCATCATCCCTTCAGTGGGTCTAGAAGAAACCTGCATGCAAATGCCAGGGATTTCTGAAGTCAAAAGCATCAAATGGTGCAAAAACTCTTATTCTGCTGACATCGTCAACGTGAGTATTCCAGTCAGCGATTGTCTTTTAGCAGAACAACAAGAAGTGAAAATATTACTAGAGACTGTCCAGGAACAAATCCGAATTCTGACTGATGCCAGACGGTCAGAAGACTACGAACTGGCCAGCGTAGAGACCGAGGATAGTGCAAGCGAAAACACAGCCTTTCTCCCCCTGAGTCCCACGGCCAAATCAGAACGCGAGGCACAATTTGTCTTAAGAAATGAAACACAAAGAGACTCCACATTGACCAAGTGACTCGAAATGTAGGAATCTGTGCATTCTATGCTTTGCTCAACAGGAAAGAGAGGAAATTAAATACAAATTATTTATATGCATTAATTTAAGAGCATCTACTTAGAAGAAACCAAATAGTCTATCGCCCTCATATCATAGTGTTTTTTAACAAAATATTTTTTTAAAGGGAAAGAAATGTTTCAGGAGGGATAAAGCTTACCACTAAAGCTTTTGGGTAGAATTCTGAATCCAATTTCAGTTAGTCCTAACAGTATTCTCTTTGGCTTTTAGAAAATGTGGGCAATTCAGACCCTCAGTCCACAGTGCCAGTGTCCTCAAGGAAAAAAAAAAAAAACACTGGTAGTTAACCTGGTTTCAAAGAGACAAGCTGTATCCTGAGGGTGGATGTGCCCATGAGCAGGTGGCCCTTGCCATTTGGCTTGCCAGTTACAACCCCTAAATTTCCATTCACCGATCACCCTCATCACAGGTTATGTCACATCAAGCCACATAGTGTTTTGTATTTGATTTGCTGAAGAATGGCACAAAGACTGAAATGGAAAGGAAGACAGGTGATGGAGGGAGTAATTGGGGCAATCTTAGCTACTCTCATGTGCCATCCTCCCCTGAAATTTGAAAACACTCAGAGGGAGGTATGAAATTATTAGAGACAAAAAAAGAAAAAGTCACAATGTCGTGTCACTGAAATCATGCTAATAGAAATGTTTTTCTTGGAGATTGTTTAGAAGCTCTGAAAGAGCATTTGTGCGTGTGAGGTGTGGGCTTGCTCCCTCCAGCACATATGCTGTGTGCACATGTTCATCGTGCGTATGTGTGTGCATGTGTGTGTGTGTGTGTATTAAGCTTGCTAAAAATTTGTTCTAAAACATCAGGGAATCTAATATTCAGAAAAAATTTCCCTCTTAGATCTATTCACTTGAAAGTTATTCATTAAATATAAAGTTCAATTAGTGAGTTCTTAAATCAAGATCACTTGCATGGTGGGGTCCTATAAACTCTCGACAATGTCTAGACCATTTTCTGATGTGAATACTTTTGAAAGGAGCAACTATTGGCTTATTGAGAATATCAGTATCACAAAGTGATTAATGGAGGATGTGTGTTTATTTTGAATCATACCTCAATTATTTACACAAGCCAATTATCCAATTGACAGCTACCATTTTTGTTCTCTTCATCCTCATTGCTATTGATTTCATAGCAAGTCTACTATGTGTGGACCAACTCATTGGCTTCAGTGGTTAATATGGAAAGAATAAATCGCTGAAATTACAAAGCCCAGACTATTCAGTTCACAAAAAGCCCCCAAAAGAACAGGAAATTGTGTTGTATGTTTATTTGGAATAAAGCAATATTTTTACCACTGCTAAGGTGAACTGAAACCTCTCCTGAAGATTTGTCTGTTTTATTTTCCCTTACTTTCATGGGGCATTCAAAGAAATTAGTGTTCACATATCCAGTCTTTTTCCAATTATTGGTGGTGTTGAGTTGTTATGTTTACACTGTTTTAAATAAAAAGGCACAGTATTTGAAAGTATATAAAAGATTTCTTTTACTGCAGTTTGGGAAAACCTGGGTTAAAATTTCTTTGGATAAATCACATTCCATGGAAAGGCAGATGTAACTACCTGTGAATTGATTAGTGAAAATATACAATTCGTGTTTCAGGTTAAATTGTTTCTGTTGAAAATACATTGCAAATTGCTCTTTGTGAACATTCGTTAATAACAGACATAAAGCCATCTAGGCAAAATAACACTTTTTTTTTTTTTTTAAATCAAAACTGCTTAGCAGAAAGTCAAGGTCTCAAATGTTGAAAACACTTTGGTAGAAACACACTTTAACGAAAGGTTATGTGTCTTTTATTAGTTGTCCCATTAAAGTTTTGTTGTTTTGAAAATAGAGGTAATGTCAGAATTTTTAAAAATCAAAAATTTTTAAAGTCTAGATCACTGACGTTGTCATTTAAAAATACTTTGGAAAATTTTAGGAAGAGACCTTATAGGTTTATAGAATATCCAATATGTTATTATGTTGAAATTTAACACAGTTATCAAATGGACTGGAAGGCCTCACAAGTCTGAAGACATTAACCTTGTTCTTGGTTTTTGTTTTATTCTTCTGAAACATTCTCTGTTGCTTATCCAAAGGATCAATTCAGAATTCACCTAATCAGTAGGGTAGGTATGTACTCTATGACTCAATGAAATTATTATTTACATTGGGAAAAAATTAATATTGTCAGTAAGACTCAAGTCTTGTTCTAATATCTTATTTTACAAAATGAAGTAGAACCATATACTCTGTGATTATAACATAACCCACTTCCTTGTGCATTCTAAGGAGCATGAGTATCAGATAGTCCACTGGCAGTATGATGTAAAGTTTAGAAGTATAGTAACTGCCTAGAATAGTCTAGACAAATCTTCCATAAAACCACGGATATTAATGATTACTTCTGGTTCTCATTTGTCTCCTTTGGGAATATGAAGCTCCTGTGCAAAGTGTCCACGTCTAGATATGCACATCTTTGAGCATCAGTTGACAAGTAGTGATAACATCAGACTTTGAAAGTTAATCTAACATGGCATATACTTGGAGCCATGAGTACTTTGTCGCTTCAAGCTCATGTGCCTACAGAGAAGTGCTTATTTCTACAAGAGACTTGATTTTTGCTTCATTTTCCTTGCCTTTATTATGTGAATAGATATTTGGAAGTTTGTAATTAAATAGGCTGTATATTCATAACTGGTGATTGTCACCATTTTTTACTTTGAACCATTTTCTGATGTCTTTTTTTTATAAAGCTTCTATTACTCTAAATTGCCAGTGACTATTGTAGAATGCTGTTGTTCAAAATATGACCAATTTTGTGCTAATAAGAAATACTAGAAATGATGTTAGATAATTGGGAAGAAAAATTTATAATTTTCCATGAACACTAAATATTCCATATTTCACACTCTGATCCAATATCTACCTTGCTATAGGTTAAAGACTAAATGCTTGTCAATTTACCACATCTCCAATGATATACATTAGGTTAAGTAGCAATAGCAAGGGTTTCTGAAGAGTGCTGCCTATATAGAAATTCAAAATTAATCTGTTTTGATCATGACAACACATCAGACCTACCAAAAAGAGAACGGAAGGGCAAGTCTTCAAAATGCCCATTGGCTTCTGGAATGAATGGCAGCTACAACTTGACAGGCACTGGCAAGCATGGGTAAGGCTTCCAGTAACCAGGTCTCCACCAGGATGTGTTTGATGTATGCAGCCATCATTCAACAGCTATCCTGCCATATGGTGCTATAAGGAAACCATTACTCCCTAAGTGTATGTGTGCGTGGTGGGGGTAGTGATCCCTTTGATTCCAGCCCTGTAAACCTGAGATAAGTGCTATGAAATATTTCTCAACGAGAATGTAGTATACCTAGGAACACAGCAGGAGGGGTGGGATTTTTATTTGATCTTTTGGTATCTGGGAAACATTTTATATATAAAGAATACTTTTTTATTATTATTCAATTGTATAAATTCAGTACAGTGTTTTCAATGAATAGCACGTCTACACTGTGTTTGTACTCTCATCTCCAGAAATTCAGGCAAGATCAGCACAAGGTTTCTGGGCTGTTCTCAATTTTAAATGCATCTCAATATGCCCTGGAAAATGAAGCCTTTAAACAAGCTTTATCTCTTCCATTTCTTTCTTTCCCTTTTAAAGAAATACTGAGGGTAAAGGAAGAAATTCTTTCCTTAAGATCTACATGATTCTCTTAATAATGTGTTTCCTACTGTGACCACACACACAACACATATCTGTATATTAGAGTGCTTAATTACTTTGGTAGCTTTATCTCTTCCTTAATTTGGCAAACTGATTGCTAAATGCTTTGATTTCATTGGCATTCTATGAGGCAATCAGACAACTTGGCAATATTTTGATCACACAGGCATTTTTCATTTCCTTCTCTTTCTTATACAAGCAAAAATACCCCTGGGTTGGAAAATTCACAAGACTTTAGAATAAAAATCTCTGCTAGATTCTCTCAGAAATGAAAAAATGAAAATTAAATGACAGGTGTAAGTGATTGCTCTCTCTACAGTGTCTAATGGTCTCATGTATTTTTTTGTTTAAACAAAATTAACCATAATTTCTCCTCACGATGCCTACACAGCTGTCTTTGACTTCTGGTGCCCACTGAACTCTAGTAAGGACAGAGCATGTGTGGGGGCAAGGAGGGAGTACCAAGTGTCAATCTTAGGCACCCCAGCAAAAACAGCAGGGTGCCCAGATACCATCTTGATGAAATAGAGAGCTGCTTCTAGTACTTTGATGTTTGTCATGAATACCTGTATTGATTGCACGTGTATTGTTGCCTATGAAAGAACTGTGTGATAAGAAACAACCTCTTATTGTTGAAAATGAATTAGAAAATCTTTATATTGAAAGTTGTCTTTGTGAAAGCTTCTAACTTATCTATACATAAGAGAAACTTCATGACCTTCTCTGTCAAATAAGGTGGATGATCTAGTGGATAATTCATCTTTGATTTCCCTTCCAAATTGAATACCCTGTTATCCAGCCTTTCTAACCCAGACTTTACTCGTCAACTTGCCAATCATTTCAACACAACCCTTTAAAAGATTAATGGCTATTAAGTCTATCTCACTGAGCCTCAGAAATATCTGGATACTGTATATCAATCTATAGCAAAAACTGAAAGTTTTCTTGGTACACTGAAATTCCATGGAGAAATATATGGGATTGTTTTGTGGTTATTGTTAAGGTAAATGTACCTCAGATGGGTAATAAAGAAGGTATGGCTAAGAAAAATATCCAATTCCAAAGCCTGAGGATATAAGGTCAATTGCCTCAGCTTTTTTTTTTTTTTTCTTTCAAGAGACAATGTTTATCAAAGACAGAGCAAGGGGCTCTCCAAAGAAGGCATGAGACCTTGAAGATGTTCTCTGTTCATAGAAGCAGTACATAGATTCTCATGAACAAATAAAACATTTATTATTGATATTCTGAAATATTTGCATCATAAACTTTTTAAAAACAATTTCCAAATATTAATGAATAATTTGTCTGGGGACACTTTCCCATTTATGATTGAAAGTAATCCTCATTTGGGGGGCAAAACAGACCAAAAAATGCAGGGTTTACTTGTTAATATAATTTTGATTGTAATTGTTGTTTTTGACAGATCAATATGCTCTTTCAGTATCATCCTGACAAGCACTGATTCTTCCATATATAATTTGTCTTGGTCAAGATCCCAAAGTCTGAATTTTTTCTTAGTCTTCAATAAAACAATGTGAAATGTTAAAATACTTGAATCAAAGCCAGTAAATTTCAGTTGTGTGCGTTTCTAAATTATAAGGATTCTATCTAGTAATGTGAAAATGCAAATTAAGGGGGCATACACTTTATACTTGTTTTTAATGTACTTAGAGGTTCTGATGAACCACTAATACAGCATGCTACTCTCTATGTTGATGCCATATTTTTGGAAATAAGGGCTTAAAAATTACACATAGTACATAGCACCCAATGTATGGTAAACGTAATGCCTTGGATTCAGGTGTATTTCATAGGAAATGCGTATAGCAAGAAAGTACAGTGGTTAAGGCTTATCTTTCACAACCTGATTTTGAGTTCTATTTTTAATCAATGTCTGGAGAATAAATAATTGTATTCAAAATGAAAACAAGTGGGAGAACATAAAACCTCACCTTAAAAATCATTACACCCATTGGTCAGTGGCCACTGTGCATAGTTTACCTAGAAGGATATCCCTCAAATCACTTATTTTTCTAATATGCAATTGTACACATTGCCTACAAATGAATTATCTAATTCTAATACTTTTAATCATATTCTAAATCAAGAATGTAACACAAAGAATATACAAAATGATCAGCAGAAAATTTTCAGATAATCATTTTTAACAAATTTACTGAGAAAAAGCTTCTGCTTCTGATGAAAATTTTGTTTCAAGAAATGTACTGGATCATCTTCTAAAGCAATTTCAAAATGGCAGCCACTACTCTGTAGGGATATGAAGGCTATGGGAAATAAACTACATGCATGTCCCATTATATCCTAAATAATCTGTGCTTTGATAAAAAACAAATCGTTTCCAGCAATGTATGTGCATCTCCTTTATCTTCTTCCAAGAATACATTTCAAAATAGTGGACACCACTCTGTAGGGAATGAAGGCTATGGGAACTATATTTACATGTATGATTTGCTTCCATTATACCTGGAATGTTTGAAGAGATGTGCACTTAATTCATTTGCATCTTGACTTCATCAGGTAAGTTTCCATCTATGAAGCCAAACCTGGACTACCATTTCCCTATTGCATCACCTCAGTAGCTTTTGTTGGAGTTGGACATTCAGATTCTTTTAGGTTGTGTTCTTATTGCACATAACTCTTATTCCCTTTTATTAAATGGAATTCTCAGCTAGAATGAGAGACCAATGTGATTTTTTTTGGGGGGGGTAGCTTTGCTCATTTTAGTTG